AAAAAAAATAACATTTCTTTAAATTGACCATAACTTTTAATAGCTTCCATTTTATAAAAATGTATTAATTGTGACAACACCTTTTAAAATTCACTAATTTTTTACCCTTTGACCTTGAAGTTTGACCTGCTTTTCAAAAACATTAACAATACTTATACCTTTTGACTGAGAAGAGATAGGGCTTTTATTTTATCCCTATGAATTACCTATGACAACTCTTTTCTAAATACACTGACTTTTGACAACTTGACCTTGAGGCTTGATCATAACTTTTTTAATGAGGAGAGATAGGGCTTTCATATTACACAAACATCATAATGTCATGTACGTAACCTGTGATAAAATCATATCAAATACTAGTATATCATGAACTTTGAACTTGAAGTTTATCCGGCTTTTCCAAAATTTAAACATTGCATAAAATTGACCATAACTTTTTACACATGTATATTAGCTGTGACAAGGCCTATCTAAAAAAAAGGTATGGCTTAAATCATGGAGAGTGTGTTATGGCCTTGAATCAAGGTCATTTAGGATAAGATATTTTGACTGGATGCATTGTTTGAAAAAAAACATGTGTGAATTTGTCAATACAGTAGCACACAAATGGGATATGCTCATCACCATCTTGTGTCATGGTGTGACCCAGGGTCATTTTGACAAGGTCAAGGTCGCAAACATTCCTTTACTAACACTTTTTTAATAGTAAAACATAATAAGATGATATCTACCCTTAAAAGATTGCTTTATCATTAGAACGTGGCATGACCTTGACTCAAGGTCATTTCTCTATGTCCGTAGCTCCGACGGAAGACCTACTCGTTGCTTTGCAACGAGCTCGGCTCTAGTTATTCTTTTTTTTTTCTTCTACTTCCTAGACCGCAACTTTGAGGCCTTATATCTCACTCATTTCTCAACGGATTTCGCTCAAATTTTCAGAGGTTATAGGTGTTTATAAACTCTACCAGAATGTTGACTAAAATTTTAAAAAGTCACTTCCGGTTTTGAGTTATTTCCCTTTAAATGAAAATTTATAGGCTTTCGTTTCCGGATAAAGGCTCAGAGACCACAAAAGCTGGAGCAAAATTTTTACCGATTTTAGGTAACAGAAGGATTGAAGTTGTGCACATCGGTTTTTGTTTTTCGATTTCTGTATTCACAATGGCGCTATATATAGGGGTCAAAAATTAGAACGCCTAAAAGAGCGAAAATTTACACATATTTTCCTTTTTATCTTGAAAACTGAAAATATTTTGTTAAGACATAATGAACAAAAGTTGTGCATAATTGCAAGGGATTTCATATAATAATATTCAAAAGGGGCTGGCCCCTATAATTAGGGATCAAGGGACCTTGAAAGTTTTTGCTTTATAACTCAATAACGGTAAATATTTCGAAATGACTATCGATTATAAAGTTGTTCTTTAACATCTTACTGATCTCATGAAATTGTAATTGTTTTCGAGTCTTGTTTTAAATGAGCTGGTGCATGACCTATATATATGCACAGGTAATTATTTTCACTCAGCACGTAAACGAGAGCTCCTCGTGCGTGTAACCAAAGCAAGCTTACTATAAATAATAAACATGGCTATATTGGAAGCTAATATTCTTCAGAATAAAGTTCTCGAAGTGTTTGTGCTTTTTTTCTTATAAATTCTCATGTTTATTCACTGACAACTTTCCCTTTTATTTCATCTTTTAAAAATCGTATAAACCAAGTCTACTAAAAAGGGAAGAAAATATCATCTTTTCTTCTTATCACATAAAAGCAAACAATATAGTGAGAAAATAGAACATAACTAAAAAGCACACCATTAAGTGCACGGCTTTAACATTCACCTTGTTCATGTTGTTTGTTTACAATTATATAACGCGCATTCCTCGATAGCGGCGGGGCAAAGTCGGTCACCGGGAATCAATCGGCGTATGATCCAGCGACCCACAGTCATACACAAAAAGAAAAACACCACAGAATGGTTAAATCAATTCTTGATAAAATTGTTCCTTCTTAAACTATCTCTGTCCCATGAAAATATTAATTTGTTCGATTCTTACGTATGGTAGGAAAGAAAGCTAGATCCGTATTAACCGTAAACAAGGCACCGTTCTCATTTTGATATTGAAGAACTCTTTATGCGTATAATTGAAATAAACTTGCCGTAAGTAATAAATATTTTACCACGCTGTATCATATCTCTTTTTTAAATTAGGTTTTAAACGTGTTCTTTGTTTCCCGTTCAGAGTATTCGATGGTATCTTTTTCCTTTTATTAATGAAGATCTTTCCAAGAGAAAGAGTAATAGAAAAAAAGTACGAGTATCTTTGATTCGTTTAAATATGAACATCAACAATATGAACGGAAACAACATACGCCCGGATTTCATTAAAAAAAATTTAAGAGTCAAATAATACACAATTATTTACTGCGCGATTCTCATATTCACCTGGAACCAAGATCCTTTTTTTAAGTGTGTTTACCATTACGTATTCTATCTTTCGATTAATTCTAAAGCGACACACCGCGGTGAACCATTGACCCCGCAGTCATAGGCAAATAATTGGTATATACAAACCATTCACAACAGTAAGAAAATATTATTTTCTCTAAGTAAATTAAATCTTTCAAAAATATCTTAAAATTTTTTAGGTTTGACTTTAGTACAAAACGCTGGGTATTTATTTTACATGTACATCAATCAGTCTTCAATTCTTAAATATTCGTTAGATCCATGTGTAATTTGACGATTCATAGCACAAGGACTGGCGATCTGCCGTTACTTTACTTCAACCAATATAAAATGCACAAGCTTTGCTCTTTTCACACACAAATAAATCCGTTTTCAACACAAGTTTTCCGAAACACATTTTTTTTATCACAGATATTAACCATGGCTATACCAATTTTAAACTTTTAAAGAGAATCTTCCGAATCGTAAGGATAGAATTATACTCAATGAAATGGACTAAACATCGATAAGTAACACCGGCACGTGTAAACTTCATAAGTGACTTCTGTGCTGCACACTGTCTATCAATTTATATTACAGGTTTTAAAGTAAAGTTCAGGAAATAATAATTTTAAAGCAATGAACTTAATTTGTTTTATAATTTATTCAAAACCCGTATAAATGATAAGTATAGTGTGCTACTGTAACATTGTAATTTTGTTCCGTTATTAAATATCAGTAGCAGGTTATACAATGTACATTCAAGTCATAATAAACCCGCATTTGTCCAGAATCGAAAATTTAAGAACTTGTATACCGGGGTAACAACGTTATCTTAATATTACAGACTAATCATGTCATTGTAATTAAACGCTTTTACAACCTAAATTAAGCTGTTAAAATCAAAACCGGCACCAAAGTCAAACCATTTGTATCCTTAACCGTATATAACTCAGTATTTTCTTTAAAATGATGAACTTATATCTAGCACAAATTACTTTCCTTGGTTTAAAAAATACGCATACGAGAGAAAACGAGTGAGAAGCATTTTATTCAAGTACATTCAAGTTTTTACCAGCAAGTACCTGTATCAAGTATTGTCTATTTTTTTTTTCTATTAAACATCGCGATCCTCCTTCAAGGAAAATATATAATTATATGAATGAATTGATTGAATAACATGTATAAAAACATGTGGGTTTGGTTTGTCAACGTGTTTTAGATCATAATCAGCAAATCACAACTCCTCGGGTCTTCCTGTATAACAGAATAATAACCTCGAATGTATTACGTATACATTATGACATCCCCATGCTCCTCACCCCCCTTACCCAAACTTTGAAATAAATGAGGAAAGATATTTTATTTGTGGACTTTTGAGTTTAATTTTATTGAAAGTAAAGCTATTACCCTAAAATACGTATTATGGAAAGGACTTTCAACCCCGTCTATCTTTCATAAATAGAAACTCCATGTTGTTTGAATATTAATATCCGGTTATGTTTAAAAATACCTCAGTGTTGTTTTTCTGACCTATGACAAAATGGTGCGAGATAATGCAAATTTCAAACATCATCATCGGCCAATGACAGAGAAGTTGTAAAATTTCTGTCAGGTTATGAACTTCTAATCATTAAAGGGTGTTTGTCTTGACACAGAGCCAAGATTATTCTGTTAAGATCAAGGTCACTGACAGAAGAAATATTTTCTTTACTACGCTATGAATTAGTAAATGAAAATCATTGGAGGCTCTTACTTGAAACATACATTACTTATGATTGGAGGTTTTGTCATGACCCTGATCAAATGTCTTTCTGGCAAATCAAGGTCACTGACAAAGAAAAAAATGTTTAAGCATAACTTTATAATTAAAATTTACTGGAGGCTCATGCTGGGAAGAAAGGTAGTTTACATAAGAAAGTGCAGTGACCTTGACCCAAGGTTTGTACTTCCTGTCCACAGCTCCAACGGAAGACCTACTCGTTGCTTTGCAACGAGCTCGGCTCTAGTACTGAATGTCTTATTGATTAAGGATGCAAGTGGAAAAAATCGCCGATCGTCTTTACGTTCACGTTTAGTAAACTTTCAAACTCCCCACTACTTCGAAAAAGATTAACACACCTCTTTATTCTTTATTTGATAGTCCAAGAGTCCCTTATCCTCTAGAAATTAGTTGGTTTTTTTTTTTTTTGCACTCGCAAGCATGTTTCGTCTGGTGTTTGTTGTTTACAAGGAAGCTACATCGGACGCAAGTCTCTCAAACGCACAACGGACATTTTGAGAATTCTAAAGTGAACAGTACTAGTACGGGCATGATTTGCACGTATGTGACAATTTCATTGTGTTACCCGTTGTCAAGTGTGTTGCTTAGGTTAAGGGTAATAGAACAGATTGTTAACTGCGTCTTAACCAGTCAGATTTTAATATTCAACATGAAAGTATACCGGGTAATAATTTAAATCATGCATATATAAATAAAATGTATAAGGGGAAACATCTATAGATGTGTAAAATAACAGGATAAAAAACATTGTTTTTGTTGAAACCCACCTTTGTATTTCCAGGAATGAAACAAGGATCCTTCAGGGTTATGGCGATCAGTATGGTAGATTCTAACTTCTTCATCTAAACCCTTGGATATGTCAACAACAACGATATAAAATGCTCTCCTTGACAAATAAACCTGGTGACATGCGTAATAAGCCACTTGTCCGGCAAAGTCTGTCATACTGATCAGCTTTGTACCACGGCTGCTGTGAAGATGAATGCCTTTGATAACCTTCCCCTCTTCCTCTTCCCTGTTCTGTATACGTATTGTAATCGGATCATCTTCAGCGTTAACACTGAAATCTGATTTGATACAAAATAATTAGGGAACAATTTTTTAATATTGTTAATCAGTCATTCCTGAAAACAAACGAGATGGAAGTGACTTGGGGTGCATTTATAAAATTCCAGAAGTTCAAATGCACATGTTCTAAAATCAGTTGAAACCTAACGTAAAAATGTTGATATGTAAAAGAAGAATTACCATATAAAGTGTCATCTTTAATTTCAAACAAATCTTCATGGACCTCTAGACCAATTGTTGTTTCTGTAGGTTGATTTTCCTCTGTGTGTCTTCTTTGAAGCTTCCTAAGTAGAGTTGTTTTACCTGCGCCTGCGCATCCCACAATCATACCTCGTCCACGGAACATTTGTACTCTTCCATGGCGGAGACTCTCAACAAATCTTTTCCTGGCACTCAAATCCCATGTCAAAATTTCCTCCGGTATGTTTACTAGATAAAAATTCAAAATTGCATATTGTAAAATTCTATATTTTTTTCTTTTTTTTAGTAGCATAAGGTAATAACAATACCTAATTTCTCTCTAAAAATGGATGCAATGAGTGATGATCTACATTTTAATAAAAATAAACACAATTGCCCTAATAGGACTAATCGGATACATAATGAGCTATTTATGACCTGGACATGGACATGTACATATGTATGTAGAAAAAAAAAACTTTATAATTTTACGATTCTGCCATACTCTTTCAATATATGAGGATGTCAAGTTCCTACGCTGACTGTTATCTGATATTTGATTGGGATCAACTGAGGAGGTTTAATGATTCTATGTCTTCATAAGGTGATATGATGAAGGCAAAATAGCATTAGAGCTACATGTATAAGAGCAAGAAAGCAAACAAAAAAGATATCTCAGGAAAAGGAAGAAAAACTTTAATTTGCAGGGCTAATTGGAGACTAATTTAGTCGATATTGCGATGATCAGAACCAACTTTTTATTTTTACCTACAAATAGTGTCCATTTTAAATTGCCTTTATATTACCTCAAATTCCGAAGTTATAAATTTTTCAATAAGAGGTACAATGAAGTGACTAGTTATTGTGTTTTATGTCACTTTTTATGTCAACTTTTTTTTTGTTTTGATAGTCGCATATATGGCAACGAAAGCTCGCATATCGTCAATAAACAAAGAGCCCGGGTAGACAGGAAAGACGATGGCAGCAACAGGTAATTGTTGGTTTTAGAAAAGTGATAGTTGTGAAAACATGCCATAAGTGAATTGACGGTGTTGTCAATTAATTGCCAATTTTCTCACTTATTAAAGATACATTTATTGTCTAAATATAAATTTTAGTCTGTAAAATATTCAAATATTTCTTAAATAGTTTTGAATACTAGTAGATTCATGGAAGGAAAAGATCGATGAAATTTCGAATATGATTTTTATCACCGTTGCAACTATGGCTAAATTGTAAAAACCTCACTCTGTCAGACCTTTAGGGGAGAGCTATATGGTGTAAAATCTATTCAGACGTAGGAGTTTAAAATGCATGTTGAGGCTTAAACTTTTGAATCTTAGTGATACATATTCTTTGTTATTTTTAAGCGGTTAGCTTCGCTAAGCGCTTTATGGCATGTGTCAGATTTTTATCAAAACCGGAAACTTCCATAAGGCGCTACCTATCGACAACAAAAACTTCAACAAAGCCTCTACCAAGTACTTATGATTTGTTTCCAACACATATAGCATATGTTAGATAAAATCAAGACTATCAAAGCAACATTATAATCTTTCGGTTTTTTTCTGATTTTGTTTGTCAATGAAATAAATCTATAATTGTTGTATTAAAAAAAAGTTTATGTATAGGAGCATTTGGTGTCAAGATTAAATTTCCGTGACATCAGCTGATGGCGAACGGGCCCTGTGATGAAATTCGAAGTCAGCATGAAGTTTAGCAGATAACATTATCAACGCGTTAGAATTAAACTTTGGGAAGAAATGTATAGCGAGAAATATCATATTTGAAGCCAATGCTACACGAAAACCAGTAGGCATATCCGATTTATGTGTTAAATTTAAGCCTGAATCGAACAGGTGGTCAAAAGGCGTTGGACACCTTGTTTATTTATATATAGAGGGAGAAGAATGTTTCGATATTTGGCTAATTTAGAGACTTACTGAAAAAAATTCAGGTGCCTGTGATTAATTATAAGGCACCCCTCATGAACAATAAATATTTGACCGAATTATGCCACTGGGCACAGGGAGGACGGGTTAATTACTGGCTAAAGGGGTTTAAGGTTATTACTGACTACAAAACATCGGAGAATCTCTCGATCGAGTTTCATTTTCCAAAATATTAAGGCATCCCTTTAATTAACTTAGGTAATACTAGTACACGAAGAAAGCCTTTATATAAAAATACTGAATACATCTGTAAGTTGAACAGTTATGGATTACTTCTATAATGAAACGTTTGTTTTCGTCTCCTTTTTTTCTCAATTAAAATTATTTAAAAGATGATAAAAGCTTTGTTTTCAGGGAAAAATTGTTTTTTCAAAAAGTGGGAATAGGTAGAATGAAACCATCTGCTGACCCGCAGTGAGCCTACGAAACTGAAGCTCTCTGAAATTACCTTAATTAATTCTCTGCTCGTCCATCCGTTTTTCTCAGAATAGCCAGCTAAAGATCTATGTACAGTACTCCAAATCAATTAATCTAAAGAATTTGAATTATCATTTTATTTTCTTTTTGGGTTGTTTTCTAAAGAGCCTTTTCAGTTACCTACTTTCAGAATCAATAGAGCATGAAAGCCAATAAAATTTGCAACATCAACATAATTTTTTTTCGTACTGAGCACTTTTGGACGCCACTAATGGAGACAATTAGGGAGAAATTTTTGAAATTGAACTTTCTGTCTTTCAAACTGAAAATCGCAGGTTGATATTTTGAAACAAACATTTGTGACATCAGTCTGGGATGTTATTGGTTATACCATTTAGTTAAGTACTACAAAATTCATTGTGTCTGCTTCTTCGCTGATGACACTAGAAAAAGATATGCATGCCTACTTTAATATCATCATTCAATGCATTTTTTGTTATTGTACACTGTACATATTCGATGAAAGCATGCTAACCGCTTTTCAGTACTTTCAGTACTTTGATTTATGATTGCAATTGACACCCCTCTCTTTGCCTACCTTCAAGGGTACAAAAATTGATTGGCATCGGCATTTTAGTACCTAAAAACTACCTGACGATTTTTTCTGGATAAAAAGCCAGCTGGCTTTAACATTGATTTCTCACAAGAAGAAAGATATTTTTATTGAAGTACCAAACAAAATAAATTCATCGACAGCGTGTAACAAAATAGCAAGGGTTATACAGTGTATTAACATACAATGACCATGATTGGTAAAATTTGGAAAAGAAACATATACCGTATTCCACCGGTCACGGTACCCAACTAGGCAGAGCGTTCACTACTTGATCGGGAGGTCGTTAGATCGAATCTCGTCCACGACGGACCTAATTCGATAAAAAAAAATGCGTGGCAACTGTTCCTTTGCCAAGCGCTCGGAAATTGAAGTGAAACTGCGGGTTCTTTGGAGGCCTTCAATTCCGAGGTCCCTGTGTCAGCGGCAGGCTTTGGCACGATAAATATACCTCACTGATCAATGGCCCTGAGTGCTGAGTATATGTCAAAATTCGAAGTCCTTCACCAGTAAATGGTCAGGTCTCTGCATGAATGAAAAATTCTGGAACGGGACGTTCAACAACATACAATTAATCAATCAATACAGTATCTCTCACATCTTCCTAACTGATATCGGAATCTTGACTTCGGCTTATGGCTTATCTCTTAAGAATTGAAGAGTGAATTTTACATTGGACATAGAATGAAAATGGTTAATTTTGGCCTCGCTCGCAATATATTTACTTTGACGTACACAGTAACTTATCATAAGTTGTTCCTTTCTAAGAATAAATGTGCAATGTGAACAGAATGGGTGTCGTTGTATATTTTCCCTTTATCAATTATACTGTATGTAAGACATATCTATGTTGATTATTTTCCAATGGATTTAGGAAGTATCGCCTTGTTGCTCTATTCAGTATGATGTCTTCTACCAAAAACAGCTAAATATGAAATTGAACAATTGGCTTTTTAGAACGATATATGCAGTCAAAAGTCTTTAATACATATTTTTTCCTCAATTTTTTGTCAAAAGTTTTAGTTTATTCATTTAAATTTTTATTTTCATGCACTGTAGAGAAATATTTACTTGTCTGATTATGTAGAGGGTGTGCATTTAATTTTTAAGACTGCGGAACATTAACTGGCAAGATTGGATATATACAGCTTACGGCATTTTTCTCTGTTACAATCAAAGCATTCAGTGATAGACAATGAAATGGGCGGATAAAATTCGACGCGGACGTGGGGAAAACATTGAATTGAAGCTGCATATCGAAATTCATTCTCAATCAATCTGAGCATTTTTCAAGCAAAGAATGATTGTATGATCCAAAAATTAACTAATTTTAACTCCGGATCCCAGATACATATTGTTTGAAGTTCACATTAATATGAGATTTTGCTTATAATATTAAGGGCGCAAAAGATCATAGAAGACAAAGATTATTTATCATGAGATATTTGATTCTAGAAGGGGTGATCGTCGAGTCAGGTCATGGCTCAACATGACAATATATATTATTTCTTGGATTATAAAAGTTCACGAGTTTTATACTTATCCTCACAGAAAAACGTTGGACAACTTCAAGCTTATTTAAAAAATCGTTTACTTTCCTTCATCCCAAGTTTTTCAAACACGGCCACTTTAGAGAATTGAATTCATCATAAACTATACACTGTATAGTAAAGTATAACTAACATATTGTTAACATTAAGTTTCTTCATTCTTTTTGGATTTCTATCAGACTTTTGTTTGCGAGTTATCAGACATTTCTATGGTTTTGTTGACAAACAATAAAACGTGATTATAATGAAAA